CTTTTGGTGAAGTCTTTTGAAGAGCATAGGTGTTTGATTTTTAGAAGATCCCAGTTATCTAGCTTATCTGTTGGGTTTTGTGCCTTGTAGGTTATGGTTTGTATCCTGTTAATGCCATGTATTAAGGCCTGTAGTGTTGGTCCTATTTTTTCTTGTATGAAGTTTATAGTTTTAGGCTTTATATTCAGCTCTTTGATCCATTTTGAAGTAGTTTTTGTATACGGTGTGAGGTGGGCAAAGTATTTTTTAACCCAGGGCTGTATTTATTGACAAAGAGCGAGGAATTGAACTTTAAACCTAAACTGGTTATTTTCTTGCCTTTATATGATGTAAACAGATACTAGAAGATACTTGAAAATTATTTATGGTCTTTTCTTAAGTTATTTATCATTTATAAAGGCAAATTGTCATCCTAGCACAAATTTCAACTTATTTGAGTCCAAATTAATAATGGTTTACTGGAGTTCAGGCAGAGAAATTACCTAAGAACTCATCTTTCTTAGACTTATATGTTGGTGTTACAGACCCAGCAGTTACGGGGGTCAAATCGCCATTTTCAAACAGTAAAGACGGTGTTTATTTGCATTTATTATCTTGGTCCCAAACACTTAGTATTTTAAAGAGATTTTACTATGATATAATTTTGGAACGGTCTGTCAGATGGAATGACTAAAAAGTAATTTAAGGTTTTACAACCTAAATTTTTTTTTCCATGGCAGAATAAAGTAATTTGTCTAACAAAGTTGATTCAATATATTAAATCAGTTTTTGTTAACCTAAAATATGTATGTTTTTAAAGTAATTTAAAATGCACATGTTCCCTTTCCAAATGTTAGGTACTGGAGTGTGGAGTTTGTGAAGATGTCTTTTCTTTGCAAGGAGACAAAGTTCCTCGTCTTCTGCTTTGTGGCCACACAGTCTGCCATGACTGCCTCACCCGTCTACCTCTTCATGGAAGAGCCATCCGTTGCCCCTTTGATCGACAAGTGACAGACCTAGGTAGGAAAATATACATGTGTGTATTTAAGATTTAAAAATGTTCATGTAATGCAAATGTCTTAGTTAACAGTTTTTTCCACTTGGTATTTAAAGTAATAAAATTACAAAGAGATTTCAGAAAGCCTGGGTTTCTATTAAGGTCAATAGTCTTATAAACTAGCCCAATCTTACTTACTAATTTTACTTCATCTTCTAAGATATTTATTTTCAATACTTGCGTAAAAATGGCATGGGGGCAGTGTCTGACCTCCTGTCACTTCACGAGGGGGCAGAGGGCAGGAAAGAGAATCAAGATCAACAGCCCAAGGCTGATTCCCATGAGGCGGAGGTCAGACCTGCCTCCTCTCTCTGCTATCTTTTCCAGTTCTGACACCAACCTTTCCTTCCACAGCACTCTTTACTTCTCTGCTGGGTTTGATAATTCATTGCAGTGGCCACACAGAAATCACAGACAATACTCAGATTATGGGGTTTATTAGGGAAGTAACAAGTTACAGTTCAGGCTCAGGAACACTCAGGATACAGTTCTTCCATCAGACAGCCTCTTTTTAGCTGTGCTTATGGGCACATCTCTCTCTGGCCCTAGGCCTCTGCCCTGTTCAGGCAAATGTTAAAAGCTCTTTTAGCCTCTGCCAATAAGGGCCCAGAGGCACCTCACTCCACCAGTAAGCTTTGGTCCAAAGGCACTCAGCTTTCTCGCTCCATGGGCCAGGAAGCCCACTTCATGGTCTCCTGCCGGTCTCTCCTGCCATCACTTCTTTGCCACCACACATCTCTCTCACCTTCTCCTGGGCCCAGGAGCTTCTTAGTGCAGAGATCCTGGGTCCAAAGGACACACTCTCTGCTCCTGGCTGTTCTTTCTTAGTGGCTTAGTGGTGGGGAATTCTCTGCTCTGGAATTGGCTCTATTTTAAGGGAAAACTGACCAGTTTCCTTGGCGGGCCACAGTTTCCTTATCTGCACAGCCCCGCCCAGTCACCTGGGTGAGAGTTAAAAGACCATGGCGAGAAAGGCCACAAAGGCAGTCCATCACACTGCAACTTGTATGTGAAGAACTTTAAGACACCTGAAAAAACATGTTACTTATTCAAAGAAATACGAATATTTATCACAGAGTAAATCATTTTCCTAAAGCCATTAATCCAGTAAAACAACGTTTTCTTTATAAATGAATAAGCCAATAATGAAAACACAGATAATTTGAGTCTCAGCATGTTTTTGTGTACTCACTTGAAAGGCAGAAATGTTTGTCGCTTTTGATACTTATCTCATATTTCCTGTTAAAATATGAGGTTAAAGGTATTGTGGATCTTTTTCACTTTCCAGCATACTTTTAAAACATCACTTCATATATTTCAAAATTAGTTATTACCTTGGAATATCAGATTTGGAAATAACAACGTGTTAACATTTGAACGATTATTTTACAAACAGTATATAAGTTCTGTAAGTTTCCTCTTTTTGATAAGGAATTTTTCTCCAAAATAGGTGTTTTTAAGATTGCCATTTTCTTCAGGTTTGTAGCACTATTGTTTTAAGACTGCTTTAATATGTTCATGCTGTATGTCAAGTGGAACACATTCAGAATAATTTATCTACCAAAAAAAGGAAATGAGTATCCAGATATTTAGACTGGAAAACTTTAAAGTGATAAGAAACCTTGTTTTAAAATGTTTTCTTGTAGAGAATAGCATTTCTTAAAGGTTTGGTGGTATTTGATGTAAATAAGTAGCGCACCCAGTTTGCCTAACTAATATGGGACAGTGATAGTATTATTATGGATAATATTAACTTATTATTAGCCAAGAAATAATGGGTGGAAGAAGATGTCTTTATTTTGAGATTCTTTTATTTGGACTTTTATTCTGTAAGATATGATGCAATTTTCCTTATATAAGACTACATTTATAGAAATGGTAACTTTTGCAATGAATGATAGACTTTTTTTTTTAGTGCTTTTTTGAAAGGGCATTGCACCTTCTATACATTAATATCACAATGTGGGTTGTTGCTACACTCAACTTTTAGTTAAAACTAGGAATTTATGACAGAGCATGGTTAGTCATATCCTATATTGAAATCAAACTTGACTGCTATTGAATTATTGACATTAGAACAAACAAACAAATCTGCCTTGGTTATAGATTGTAAGTAATATAGCTTGTAGGTTAGATTTTTATTGTGATTCTAGCCTGTGGAATATATGTTAGTGACCCTTAGTATAGTCAGATCATTCTTTTTTAATCTATCTTTAAATTGTATTATGGGAGTAATATATATGCATTGTGGGAAATTTGAAAATACAGAAAAGTATAAAGAAGGAAAAAATCATTTGTAATTCCTCTTCTAGAGAATAAAACCACTGTTAATGTGAGAGATCATAATCAGAATTCTCGTCTAGTCCAAGAAGAGTGTCAGTAGTTATTTGTGGTAGTTGCTAGTATTGTTCACCGATAATTCTGGTTCCCCTCTTCTGTCCACATGATAACATTACACTTTCTTGCCTTATAGTTAGATATAATTCCGTGATTTCCTTTTAAACAGTGAAATGTGAGCAAAAGTGAAGTGGTCACCACCTCGTCATTTAAGTTGAGGTTTATGGTTGTTTGCCATAAATCCTTCTCCCTGCTTCTGTGACTGGAGATGGTGCAGGTGGCTGGAGGCTCAGCGGTCTTTGTCCCTGAGAGAGTATAGTAGGAAACAGAGCCTCTCTTGCTTCTTTTCCAGCTCCCTGAGATGTTGCATGATCAAAAAATAAATCTTTGTTGGTATTTCAAGCCACTGAGATTATAGAGTTGTTCTGACAGTTATAGAAGTATTAAGTCATATACTAGGCAGTAGATAGATACTGCTAGGAGTTTATGTGTATGTTAATTATATAATGATTAGATATTTGGGAAATTATCAAGACCATAGTTTTAAATAAAGGACTCATTTAGTATACTTCTTAACCTTTATAAAAATAGAGTGGCTAGAACTCAGTTATAGAATATGTGCAAAAAATTAAAACTTAAGGAGAAAGCCTTTTTCAATGGCAAGGCTGAAGAGAAATACTGGTGGGCTTCAAGAGGATACTTGGGAAAGGAGGTCAAAGAAGCCAGAGAGGAGGATAGACATTTGGCCTAATTTGAGGTTTTTTTTGGAGAACCACAAGAAGAAATGGCTTCCTCTTTTAGAAAAGAGGAGCCAGGACAAAGGGGATCCCTGCAGCCAATGGCCTTTTCATCCTTTTATGTATTCATTTGACAAACATGTATTAGGTAGCAGCTATGTGTCAAATGGAACTTGTTGCTTCTGCTCACTATCTAACAGACAGATATTCCTTCTAACTACTGAAGGATCTTGCTTTTATTTATACGTTCTGGAAAGATATGTGCGTGTGTGTGTGTGTGCGCGCATGTGCGTGCATACATGTGTGCATGCAGTTGCGCATACACACACTTATCTGGACTTGTGTGGTGAGTTTTGGGGAAGAGAAGCATTGGTCCTTATTCAGAATTGCCTAGAGTTTTATCTACCTATTAAGGATTGTTGTCTTGCTTTGGTATGAGGCTCTGTATATTTGTGTGATAAGGAGTTGAATCATTTACTACTACAGATTAGAGAAAGGGTGGAGAAAATATTATCTTTAGCTGTTCTAATTCCACTTTACTTAGAAATAGAGTCTTTTAGGTTGAAGTGTATCTTTAGTACCATTGTTTTCAAATATGGGTCATAACTCACTTGATCATGAAATCAATTTAATTGGTAATGAACACCATTTTAAAAAAAGAAATAGAATAAAAAATATCAGAGCATTGCACACTGTAAGGGTAAATATGTTTTCAAAAATATGCTTTGTGAAATATTTGTTTCAGTTGTGTATATGTAAGGTGTCCTGGGTTGCAATATAAAAAGTATTTTTTACTGTAAGCTGCTGTAAAATATTTGGAAGTCCATATTTTAGTATAAATAGCAAAAGTCAGTGACAAAGTATGGTTTTTAAAATTAAATGATAGAAAAATATTATAAGTTTAAGTATTTTTCTACTTGGAATGGTGAGGGGTACTTTTTTTCCAAGAGAATATTAAAAAGACAACTGTTATGACATAAAATAAAAATGGAGAAAATTTGAATTTTTAAAGTTTAGACATTATTAGTGATTAAACTGTATCACTTAGTACTGTTGAAGCATGGGGTAAAATAATTGATACTCTGTTTTGTTAAACTTAGTTTTTTTTAATATTCTAGGAGATTCAGGTGTCTGGGGATTGAAGAAAAATTTTGCTTTGTTGGAACTTTTAGAAAGACTGCAGAATGGACATATTGGTCAGTATGGAGCTGCAGAAGAAGCCATTGGGATATCTGGAGAGGTATTGATTGAACTTGGTGAAATATTTATAAACTTGATTTTTTCTTTTAAAATATTTACCATTATAAGCACAGTATATAACTGCACTTAATACAGCAGGCATATTTCTAGAAACGTACCTTTTCATAACATTACATTACATTTCTGAAGGCAACAATATTCCCAAGAGAGCAAAAGTAAATCTAAAACTTAAATTCTCTGAAAATGCTATGCCAAATTATATTTTGTGTGTAATGTGTTCTCCTTGTGTCAGTTCTATCAAAGGATAAAGTGAAAGAATAAAAATATTATGGAAGAGTAGAAAGAATGTGGAAGCTACATTAGAGGATGTAAAAGAAAATTGGTCAACAGCAAAGCACAAGGAAAGAATTAACAGGACCTCCAACTTGAATAATATAACTCTCTCTGGAAGACTATGAAAGAGGCCGTTTATAGTAGAGACAAAAACACTTTAAAGGTAGTAGTAGCTGCTGAGGGAATTACTGCTATTAAATATCTTCAAGAAAGGGTTAAATTACATGTAACATGTATTTTCTTTATATGAAAAGGCAGATGTCTAGTAAATATTAGAAAGAAATCCATTCACATGGGTTAAAATACATTTCTGACACTTAACGTATTGTCTGCATAGCTCATGTAATAGAGAACATGGCTTTCTTAGATAGTTCTGGTTATAAGAATGATTTTAATAAATAGTTAATGATTTTGGTGATTAACTTTAAAACCATATGTTTAATATCAAAGAAAAGAAAGATTTGTTTCCACTTTTCCTTTATTAGATGATGATTTCTTTATTTTAAAAGTGAATCAGTGAGAATAGGGGTGGGCGTAAGGCAGATGACCGAAGACCAGACGAGTTGTGGAATGACATCAAGGACATCATCCATGAAGAAAGCAACAGGTCATAAAAAGACAGGAAAGGAAGAAAAGACCAAAATGGGTATCAGAAAAGACTCCGAAACTTGCTATTGTAACGCAGAGTAGCTAAAGCAGATGGAAGAAATGATGAAGTAAAAGAGCTGAACAGAAGATTTTAAAGGGCACCTCAAGAAGACAAACTAAAGTATTATAATGAAATATGCAAAGATCTGGGGTTCGCAAATCAAAATGAAAGAACAAGCCCAGCATTTCTCAGCCTGAAACACCTTAAGAAAAGATTCAAGCCTTGAGTTGCAATATTGAAGGCTTCTATGGGGAAAACGTTGAATGACACAAGAAACATCGAAAGAAGATGGAAGTAATACACCAAGTCACTGTACCAAAAAGAATTGGTCGACGTTCAGCCATTCCAGGAGGTTGCATGTGGTCAAGAACCGATGGTCCTGAAGAAATAAGTCCAAACTGCATTGAAGGCATTGGCGAAAGACAAGGCTTCAGGAATTGACAGAATACCAATTGAGATGTTTCAACAAATGGATGCAGTGCTGGAGGTGCTCACTTGTCTATGCCAAGAAATTTGGAAGAAAACTACCTGGCCAACCAACTGGAAGAGATCTATATTTGTGCCCATTCCATAGAAAGATGATCCAACAGAATTCAGAAATTATCGAACAATATCAATGTCAAGGAAAATTTTGCTGAAGATCTTTCAAAAATATTGAAGTTGTCAAAGATTTCATTTTACTTGGATCCACAATCAATACCCAGGGAAGCAGGAGTCAAGAAATCAAACAACACATTGCATCAGGCAAATATGCTGCAAAAGATCCCTTTAAATAAAGTGTTAAGAAGCAAAGATGTCATTTTGAGGACTAAGGTGCACCTGACCCAAGCCATGGTGTTTTCAGTTGCCTCATATGCATGTGAAAGCTGGAGAATGAATAAGGGAAGACTGAAGAAGAGTTGATGCCTTTGAATTATGATGTTGGCAAAGAATATTGAACAATACCATGGACTGCTAGAAGAACAAACAAGTCTGTCTTGGAAGAAGTACAGCCAGGGTGCTCTTTGGAAGCAAGAATGGCAAGCCTTCATCTCATGTGCTTTGGACATGTTATCAGGAGGGACCAGTCCCTGGAGAAGGACATCATACTTGGTATAATAGAGAGTTAGCAAAAAAGGAGGAAGACCCTCAGCGAGATGGATTGACACAGTGGCTGCAACAGTGGGTCAAGCATAACAACAATTGTAAGGATGGCGCAGGACCAGGCAGTGTTTTGTTCTGTTGTACATAGAGTTGCTATGAGTCGGAACTGACTTGACAACACCTAGAAATAACAGTGCAAAATGGGGAGCCCTGGTGGCACATGAATTAAGTGCTTGGCTGCTAACCAAAAGGTTGGCTGTTAGAACCCACCATCCACTCTACAGGAAGAAGATGTGGCAGTCTGCTTCTGTAAAGATTTACAACATTGGAAATCATATGGGGCAGTTCTACTCTCTCTTGTAGGATTGCTATGAGTTGGAATTGACTCGATGGCAATGTGTTTGGTTTGGTTTTGGTTTAAGGCAAAATGACAGCATAAGCATCTGAACATTCACATCCTCTCACAACAAAAACAGAAATAAGGTAAACAATGTGGTGGAACTAACAGACTCAGAACTCTGGAAACCAGTCAAAGAATTACTGTATCTAAGGGCAACATGGTAGGAAAGCATGTGGCTTTATTATATACACTCTACCCTCTCTCCTGCCTCTGCAGCAGTGGGGGCTGCGACAGACCTATTGCACCCTTCTGTGAACTGGGAACCATGCTCTCCTTTGGTACAGGAATGTGGGGAATAGACTTAACTTTTGCTGGTGAACTGTTGTGTGTTATTTTTTATATCTGTCTAGGGACTGCTGGAAGAGCTGAGGAGGTGCAGTCATTATGGAATAGCTAGCCTTTGTGCTACCGCAGGATTGGGGGAAGCAGCAAGTCAGCTACAGGCTGAACCTCTCTGATTCAGCTGGAAATAATTAGTGTAATGGTTGCAAACAATAGGCTTCCAAGGGCTGTAGGAGAAGGGCTGGTGTGAGAGTTTCTTGCAAAAGTTAGAACTTTAAAAACAGTATAATTAGGCAAAATGGTGGATTAGGAAGTTCTAAAGGTCCTTCCCTCCCCCAAATCATCTATTGCTTAGGAAAGAGCTCTTGGAACTAACTCTTTTGGGACTCTAGAAACAGATCAGACATTTAACTCAACCTGCAAAGTGTTTGATGAAGGGATAAGTTAATGATGTTTCCTAGGTGAATTGTGTACTGAGCAGCTGGCTGGTGCCAGAGCAGGCAGTGTGGACCTTATCCCCATTGTTTTGGGGATTGCACAGTTTGTGCAAATGACTTGGTCAGGGGACACCCTGAAAGGCCCAGGTGATTGTGGAGATTTTGGTTCTTTCTTGGCATCATGTTTCTGTCAGCAGATCCAAAGGGCCAGAGCATCCTCTAGTGGAATTAGTCATGCCACTGACTGAATGTAGAGATACGAGACTTGAAACACACTTTCCAAAAAGCTTGGAAAAGGCACTAAACAGTTGACTACAGCCTACATAAAGTAATAACAGCAGTCTCTGAGGAGTGGGAGAATCAGATACTGTCTGTATTCTGCTGTTTATTTTTCTCCTTCTTGAAAACACTAGGCGGACTTGGGCTCTGGATCAGAGTCCTTGATATCCACACATTTTGGAGGGCGCTTGTTTCAGCAGTAGTTAGAAGTTGCTAAGAAGATGGACTATTACAGCCATCATTGATTAGGGGGAAAATACACACACAATTGCAATCCTTGGGGAAGGAAAAAAATTTGTGTTCCAGAGTTACCATAGTAAATATTCAAATGCCAGTTTCAGCAAAAAATTACAAGGCATAAAAAGAAACAGAAAAGGATAACCCAGCTGAAAGAACAATATGAAGAGACAGAAATTAGCCCTATGGAAGCCCAGATAATGGGAAAAATGTTGTTGCTGTTGGTTGCTGTGAAGTTGTTTATGATTCATGGTGACTCCATGTGTTCAAAGTAGAACTGCTGCATAGGGTTTTCAACGCTGTGACCTTTCAGAAACAGATAACTGGGCCTGTCGTCCAAGGTGCTTATGGATGGGTTTGAACTAGCAACCTTTCAGCTAGTAGTCGAGTGCTTAACCATTTGTACCACCTAGAGACCTATGGGCAAAATAGAGGACTTTAAAAAAGCAATAGTCTCAAAAACTGAAGGAAAACATGGACAGTGAACTAAAGGAAATCAAGAAACAAAATGAGAATTTTAGTAAGGAAATACTTAATTTCAAAAAGAACCAAACAAATGTTGGAACTGAAGAACATAATAATGAGAATAAATTTATGAGAGGGATCAAACAATACATTGAGCTAGCAAAAGAAAGAATAAATGAACTAGAGGACAAGGCAATTTAAATTATTAAGTTTCAGTAAACAGGAGAAAAGAATAAAGAGAAATGAGCAAAGCCAAGTGAAATTCTGGGAAACCATCAACTGAACCAACGTACGTATCATGGGAAACCCAAAAGGTGAAGAAAGAAAGTGACAGAAAGAATATTCATAGAAATAATGGCAGAAAACTTTCCAGATTTGTTGAAGGACTTGAATCTGCAAATCGAGGAAGCTCAACGAACTCCACGTAGAATAAACTCAAAAAGGCCCACACCAAGACACATTATAATCAAAACTCTTGGAAACCAAGGATAGAGAATCCTGAAAAACGAGAGAAGCAAAATGTCACGTATATGGCATCTTCAAGATTAAATGCTGATCTTGCCCCAGAAACTTCGGAGGCCAGAAGCAGTGGAATCAGAAAAAAGAACTGTCAACCAAGAATTATTTATCTAGCAAAACTGTCCTTCAAAACAAGGGTGAAATTAAGTTATTCCCAGATAAACAAAAGCTGAGGGAATTTGTTATAACCATACCTGCCTTGCAAGAAATGTTAAAGGGAGTTCTTCAGATAGAAAGGAAAGGCTACTAGGCAGCTACTTGAATTCGCACATAGGGAAAAATAGATCTCCAATAAAGATAATGTCATGGGCCAGTTTTATTGTATTTTCAGTTAGTAACTTTAGTTATTATGTTCT